TCCTTCTGAAACGGGTCTTATGCAAAGGCAAGGATGAAGGGCTCTGTGTGATGCTGATGTGTGAGCAGTGGTAGAAAGGGGGTGGAAATTTGTGCCTTCCCMCTAGGGAAGAGCTGCAACCCAACAAAGCCAAGGTGCAAAGGGAATGAAACGCTTGCAACTGGGCTCCTCATCCCTGACTCCTTTTCCCCACACAGGAGGAGCTGTCCAATGTCAACCTCTCCAAGTTCCGCAAGATCCAGCATGAGCTGGAGGAAGCCGAGGAGCGGGCTGACATTGCAGAGTCACAGGTTAACAAGCTCCGAGCAAAGAGCCGGGAGTTCCACAGGAGGATAGAAGAGGAAGAGTGAGAATGTCATGAGGCAGCAAAGTGACCTGAGGGCTGCACAAAATGTGAGCCTCTCRGTCGCTTTCYYTCTGCAATGAGTCTTTGTASCCACCCCAGTGTCTAGTGAATAAAGACTGTAGTAGAYCCTCTGCATACACACTATGACCAGCACCTTTTTTGGGTTTTGTTTTCCTTGGGCGATTGCACTGCAGAGCAAGAAGAGAGAAGCTGAAGCTTCTTCCCACAGGAGAGTCAAGAGAGGGTGATCCTTTTCCTTTTTCCTTTCCCTACTCTTGTTGCTGATGYTGGCCCTMACAAACTCTAAACATCAATCTYTGARTAAGTCATCAGAAGCTGCAGTGCACKGCWSCATGAAGGACTGACAGTTCCTTGACAGAGACCATTTTAGTCACAAAGAGCACTGTTACAACACCCCAACAGTGTCCTACATTGTGCCATCTCACATGTACACTTCCTCAGCTGCTGCCACCACCTGCTGCCAGTTTCTCTTGAGTGGGCAAACAGCTGAGCCTGCCTGGGCCCACATGCTGGAAGGACTCTCAGGACTGTCCCTTGGCACCTAGYTCTAACACACCTCTTCAGCACCCAAAGGTCAGCCTCATCACCCCTTGCACAGCAGATTACACATGGTCTCTGGGGCAGGATAAAAGAAAATGTGTTGGTGTATGCCTCCATTCCTTCCTCCATTCCTGTAATTCTCTAATGGCTGATGTACAGGCTAAAGACAACATATTTTGGGGAAGAAAGGAAGGGGATGGGGAAAGAGGGGACCCTAACTGGAACAGCAGAGGCACAGTGAGCAGCTCTGTCAGCCATCACAAGTGCATTGAGGCATTAAGCCTTTTCTCCAGGCCGGGTGAAAGGCACAGGGACAGTGACWAGGTATGTTAAAGACAAGCTCACAAATGTCTGCCTAAGCTGATGTTTTCCTAGAACCCACAGCTCTTGGCTTCAAAGTAACTTCTATCCCTTATTTTCAGGTTTGAAGGATTTCCCCAGAAACCTCAAAGGCCATGGGCTCTGTGTATACACTGAGTCCAACAGGTTAATGCTAACTGAGGGCTATGAAGTTAATTTGGAGTTTAATTAATTTTGAAGTTTCAGCAATATCATCTCATGAAATTGCACCCAGTGTTTTAGCTCTGTCCCTTTCTGAAGCTCTCACAACTCTCAGATGTCACACCCCATCTCCATGTTGCAGATGGCCTTGACATAAATCAGTGAGGAGTGAATGAGCTCCACCATCATGTGAGACACTTACACTCCCCAAAAGACACCAGTGGGAAATGACTCGCAAGTCACTYAAAAAGTAACTCTCGCAATGTGGGTGTGACTGAGTCTTTTCTGACCTACTGTAGCTTTCTTTAGACTCTTTTGCAAAGTCAGCTGTTTCTTCCTCCAGCTTCCTGCCTGTTTCACTTGCACACACCCTCTCGTATCTCTAACTCGCCTGGATGTGGTTTAAAATAAAGCAGGAGGCCTCATGCCCTSAGCTGAGGGACAGGTGCACACCCTCAGGCAGGGCCTGCCCTGAGCATGGCTGGGCACTGCTGATGGCACTGAGGGCTGACCCTGCACCCTCAGCAAACTCACAACTCCCCCTGCTCTCTCACCTCCCACGCTCCAAGGCCACACCAAATTGCCCCTCAATCTTCACAAGAGCCATTGCTAGAGGAGGGGACAAGGCTGCAGAGAGCTCTGGAGGAGGCCCATGCCAGGAGGATCAGCCCATCACTTGCCTCCTGTCATCCTCAATGTCAAAGGCCCAAAATAGCTGCGCTCTCCTAAGACTTCTGTGCGGGGTCGTGCCTGTTTGTGGGGAGGATTGGCTTCCACTAATAGCGCCTGAAGACATTCCTGGGCGGGTAGGCTGCCTTCTATGTGGCACTGCAGSGTGCTGCCCTGGAGGAGCTGGACACGTGTGCTGTGTCCCAAGACAGCAGCTGCTATTCTTACCCCACAGAGACCTGCTGTGGCACAGCTCCATTCCCAGCTGAAAGGTCAAACAGCAGAATGGGGCCCGAGCTGCTCCCCCTGCTCAGAGCCTGAATCCAGAGTGTTCCCCTTTGGAGCCCGTGCAAAGCCCTGTGCCAGCCCAGGGCCGGGGCCGTGGCCATTCCCTCCTGGGATGTGCTGTCCCATGGGCAACACAGCAGCTGTCCAGGTACTTCCAGCACTCAGCCAGAGCTCCTTGGGGTGGATGGGGCATCCTCTCTCTTGTAAAACAATAAATGGAAAAGACAGGCTGGGCTGCAGCTCTGAAGGTGCAGCATTTCACAGCTGCTGTCCTGGGGTCCCTGTGTGGGTGAGGATGAGGCAGAGGCAGGGCCTGCTCTGAGGTGCAGCAGCGCTGCAGGGCCATCCATGTCCCTTTGCTCAAGCTGTGCTTGCACTGCACTCGCTGAGGGAAGGCTGTAGGGCCATGTACCAGAGACCCCTCAAGGGTTTTGGGAGTATTAGGGGTGCAGGAGAAGCCCTGGCCTGGCTGGTGGCTCTGACATGATGGTTATGGAGGCCCAGCCCTRCCTGCACCTTGACTCTCCATGCCCTGTGGRGAGCTCAGAAAAGCCACATCCCWGCCGGGTACAGTCACCRCGGGGGATCGGGCAGGGGACACCAGGCCCAGAGACAGCAGCTGGGATGGCGGCTGTGCCTTTCCCCTCAGGCCTTGGCTGTTGCTCTGATGGCACAGGTGCCATCAGCTTTCTCCTTAGCTTGGGCCTTGCCGCCTGACACTGAAGGACAAAGTCCTTTGGGGATCCCTGGCAGGAAGCCGAGGGCATTGTTCCCGGTGGGGGGAGCAGGAGGTGCCGGCCCATGGCCCCATCAGGCTCCTGTCAGTCACAGGGAGCTCCCCGGGCTGCAGCCGAGCGGACCCTCTGCTGCCGGCACCCAGTGCCAGGGGATGGCAGCCTGGAGCCATCGAGGGGACCCTGCTCTGGGCCCTGCTCCACTGCACAGCAGCAATGAGCTCTCCATGAAACCTGGCTGCTTTAAACCTGCTCAAACTGCCTGGCCCACATGTTGGGAGCAAATCACAGCAGAGGGGTTAAAATCCAGCTGGGTGGGTCAGCCAGTTTCATGTGTTCCCCACTGGGACACAGCAGAGACAGATGGGATGGGCCAAAGAACATCTGGAAATGTTTGGATCATCAGTGCTGGAAGAAAACACCCTGAGCTGACAGAAGCAGCCACTGCTCAGTGCAAAGGGCCTTCTCTGCACTGGGCACTCTGCCCASAGAGGGAGCCATGTAGGTGCTTGGGAGGGTGTGACTGTCAAAAGGATAACACACAGTGTCAATGGCCCTGCCAGCTCCACTGCACACCCTGTGGAGCCGCTGAAGGAGAGAGACTGCAATAGTTCTCTTGACATTTGTTATCTCTCTGGACCTAATGCAGGAACCAGGTGAGGCCTGGAGGTCTGGAATACTCTCACTCCTCTGGGATCAGGTCCAGCTGCCACACAGAAGGACTTTCTGGACTCTTAGGCCAGCAGAAATGACAGAAAAACTCTTGACAGCCTAAAGTGCAGTGAAGCCATTCCCACAGTCTCCCTTTACGGAACCTCAAAATGCAATCAAGATACTCTTCCGTGGGAAGCAGATTTGAAAATGGAACTGTGAACCAAAGCAAAGCCCACCTGACCTTCGCTATTCAATAAAAAAAGAACAGCAGAGCTACACTGGCAGGAAGAAATCCTGCTCCTCATCTTCCTTGTCTTCCTTTCCTGCCCCAAGGTTTCCTCCTAATGAGATGATATATTCCCTTGGGACATGTCAGTAGGACCAGCTTCCCTGGAGGCAGGGCTACTGTGAGAGGTAGGGTCAGCCTCTAGCATACATTGAAAACCTCAGCCATCTCTCCCTTAGTTGGTAGAGCGGCATGACTGGAGAAGATCAGTAGAGCAAAACACCAAGTACTGAGGATCTGGCACTGTAGCAGTGTGGAATCTGTAGCAATGTGGGAACAAAGAACACATGGAACTTCTTCTTGCTAGTTCGAATAAAATAGTTTATTTTCAAAAAACCCAACCTTTTTATATTCTAAACTTAGGTGGCTAAGCATGGATTGGCTGCCTGCCCATGCAGCACTGCCACCCATGAACGTTTCCATCCAACCACATCTCTGATCACACATTGTCCACACACCCCGCTAACCAGTCACAGCTCCACACCCAAGCCAACCACATGTCAGTCACACAAACCGCAGTCTGGCCACATGACCCACGTCTTGAACCTTTTCTTAGGATGCTTTTTGATGAGCAAGAGTGAACAGAGGTGAACAGGATTTAACAAAGGTGAAAAAGCTTCTTCCATAACGCTTTTCTTTATGTCACACAAGGCACCTAGTCTGAAATGGGTTTTCAGGGCAAAGGATGGGAGTCCCAAGAGCTGAATGCCCGTCTGAGGTGAGAGCACATTCAAGGGGCTCCTGGATCATACCTGTAATGCAAATCAAACTGTGGGGCAGGAAGGATTTGGATTCAATAGCATTTTCCTGTTTGATGTTAAGTTTTAATGAGGACATGCCCAAAGACTCCCCATGCAATCACTGCTCATTGCATCATGGCAGAATGTGCAGAAACCAGGTGAGGAAGGGCATGGGAGACAGCCACCCCAAAGATGCTGTTTCTGTCCCCAAGGGGACGGTTCCATCTGGGAGTCTCTGTGCAGCTTGAGGCTTCAGGCATACAGAACACCCATGAGAAATCAAAGTTTTACTATTCTTGATTTGTGCTTATCCGCTGTGGGGGAATCTGGGTTGACTTTGCAYTGATGCACTGTTTTTATAGTTAAGCTGTCTGTCATGTGATTAGTACTAGCATGAAAAGTCCTAAAAAAAAAAAAATCTTGATCCATAAAGGCCATAAAGGAAGACCTCCCAAAGAAATGTTTACAATAGATGAGCCCATTTAATGGGCTCAAATGGAGCTTCTGACCCATAWGGGCAGGGGATTGGCTGGAACATGAAAACTGTGTTCCATTACAAATGTCTATAAAT